ATATATATATATATATATGTATGTATGTATATATATATATATATATGTATGTATGTATGTATGTATATATAAAAACATAAGAAGCAAACCTTTGTGAATAATATTTTGGTATTAGAATGATAAAGTTAAATCCAAGAGAGGTTTTGTAACATCTTCCTGTAGTAGCATTCCCTTACCTAAAGAGCTGGTCCACGTTACACAACACTGGATGAATGATGTTCATCCCAATGGTTAGCTGTGGCCATGAGGCAATCACCTGCATCTGCCTGCTTGCACTTCTATGCTATGTAAAACAATAAAGAAATTTTATTGTAATCTGCCAAAACATTATTTCAGAACAGACTTCTCAACTTTTCAGAAAGTGCAAGAATATAATCATTATTAAAACTGACTCTGGGATTTACCTCCCAGCTAGTCTCATATACCTAGGGAATTCATTTTCATCTTGGGAAAAGAAATTCCATAGGGTCTTCCTCACAGCCATGTTAATATACTATCCTGTTATATCCGAGTCAGAAGGCAAGCACACTGATATAAGCTGTGTTGCCCCACAGCTTACCTTGTGTGTCTCAGCTCTGAGGCTGGGCAGTGTTACTGTCCTCACTCAATTTAATTTTATATATAGTTTCAGGGCAATATTTGGTAGATCCCCCCTCCCATCCAGCATCATCTACTGATGGGAAAATGAGCCACAAATCACTCTCCTGGATGCATGGTGAGGCAGAGCTGGGGATTCAACCCTTAATTTTTATTTATTTAGTCTTTATATTTATTATTCATTCAACCTTATTTTTATCATTTACTGAGTGATTCTTCTGACAGTACTATTAGGATGATCCTCATGAGAAGAGTGTTTGTTTTTTGTCAAAAGAAGGAAAACACCATTTCCGACCTGGAACAACTCAAGATGGCTCTAGGCTGCCTCAGAAGTGGGCTGAACATGAGATGGAAGCAACAGGTCCTGCACAAAAGGTTAGTAAATTAAAAACCGAGGGAGTCTTCATACCACAGTACAAAGGACATGAAGACAAACCTAATGTGCAGGGATGAAAAGACTATTTCCATACCCATTTAATTATTTCTACTGTTAAAGATTCAGAAATGCAAGTTGAAAACTAAATTCATAATTATGCAATGTAGCCAATTTTAATCCTTTATTTAGTATAAAATAATACATGAAACTTCAGCCACATGAAAATGAAATTATGACATTTCTATCTGTAAGCCCCCTAATTATATAAAACCAAGTAAATTTAAAATTAAATTTAAAACACTTAGGAAATACAAGCATTGATTATAATCCTTTATACATGGTACTTATTATACAATAATGCTCACTGAATATATTAACTCACTTTGGAGTAAATATGCATATATTGATCTAGGGTCTTTGGGCAACGTATAAGGAATCTGGCATGTCATCTCTTTCTGCACCCTCCCTGGGGAGTGAATTACTGCAGTAATTGCTTATCATTAACAACCATAAATTGTCTTAAAAAGGCAATTTCAGTAAAAATACATTAGAAAATGCATTTCAAAACAAATATGTCCAATTATATACCAACACTTTATTTGCTGCAGCTGTCTGATAAGTTGAGCACAATTATTTCTTGAAGTCTGTTTGGTTTAGTAGGACACACTCCAATTTGCAATGAGGACTCCTAGATTCCCGCTTTTTCAAAACCTGCCAGGGCAAACAGTAGCCACTGTATTACAGATAAAAAGGTATATTCTTTCATGAACTATATGTCAAAATAATACAATAGCATTATGTTAAAGAGATAGTTCCATTAACCTTTGTAACATGCTAGCAATGAAGGCAAAGAAAATGAAAGCACCGAAGTGTCTTTTTTACCCATCTCCAAGATGTACTGACTGGACTTACATGGATGTGGGGAAAAAAATGCAGGTTATGTCTAGCAGCTGTACAACTGTTTATAAACAGCTGCATGAAACATACCCCAACACATGTAGTTTTACGTCAAGCAGATTTTAATTCATAATGAATTACAGACTATGGATGAATTGCTGACAACTATATATTATCATTTAGGCTACTGCTTCACTTTTCTTTTTTGTCCACGAGCCCCAAGCCCCACCCTTTCACTTCTAAGACAGCTATTAGGTTTCTGACAGCATACTCGCTTTACTGTGTGCATTTGTCCCCACACACCAAACTCATACTTTTGACCTTATTCATCTCAGTTTGCTTTTTTCTGCTCAGTGACCTGTTAACTGAACAAAACATAACAGGTGTCCAGGAAGAGCTTCTAGGTGAGACATCCCCACTTCATCCCTCTGTTTTGGATTTCTCATTTTACCTGCATCAGGCTTTCCCCTGCAGGGGGAAATAACCTCAAAGGAGAGAAGGTGTGCTTCAGAGGAGCCCCACAGCCGTCCAGCCCTCTGCTTGCAAACCGCCTGAAGCTACCCTGCGGATAGTTGACCTCCCTGGCCATCCACCGACAGCCGCCAAGGCAGAGCGCAACGAAACTGCTTGGGCCGTGGAATGTTTGCCTGGCAAGGAGATTCGCCAGCACTAGAAGGCAGCTCCCCACCCCAGCTACGCCCTTCTTTTCAGCCCCCTCTACATTTCTCCGCCGCTGTCCCGGGCCTCCTAGCCTAACTGGTGCTGCCTACACGCGCCCCGGGCTCCTTCTCCGCCTTCCAGCCTCTCCTGACCTCACCGGCCTCCGCGGACCCAGAGCCAGGCCCACGCCTCTGGCGCAGAAGCAATACCTCCTCGCCCCAAGCGGCGGCCCTCCAACTTACGCCTATCGCCGCGTCTCGCAGGGATGCAGGCAGCGCACCAGTTGCGAAGAGACGGGCAGGGCAGCCGCACGCGAAGCCACCGAGACCCGACTCCGCGACTACGGCTGGAGTGTTTGACAGCAGTCCCCGCCCACCGACGTGTTCTTTCCGCGCAGGCGCTTGGCTGACACGCACCTGCTCGACCCAGATTCGGGAGCTCGAGCTGCGCATCGCTCGCTTTTGCTCTCTTGCGGGCTTTGAAAGTACTGCTTTTTCCCCCCCGAGGGAAACGAGGGAAAGGCAGTGACGCATGCGCGGACTCTGGGCTGGGGAGGGTCGTCACGTGGTCGTTGCTACCATTTTGGGCTGAAAAGGGTTTGTGGGAGTTTAAAATGGTAGAAAGCGTTATTTTATAACGTCGGGAAACTTGGCTGGTGGTCTTCCTATTTTTTGGGCTTGGGATAAACTCTTATTCTGTAAGAAAAGATGCGAAGAAGGGGGAATATGGTGAGGAGTTAATGTAGAATTATTGTGACAGTAGGGGGGAAGAGGATTCGAAATGTTAAGACTCTTGTCAAGTTTGAAAGGCAGTTTCTTAAAATTCCCAATTAAATGCTTTTTACAAGGAAATACAATCCTGTTGAGTTAGCGTTGCTAACTGCTGTTGTAAGAGAAGCGGTCTGGTGTCGTGGTTAAGGCACCAGGCTAGAAACCAGGAGACTGAGTTCTGGTCTTGCCTTAGGCATGAAACCAGCTGGGTGACCTTGGGCCATTCACTCTCTCTCAGCTCCAGGAAGAAGGCAAGAAAACGTTGCCAAGAAAACTGCAGGGGCCTGGCCAGGCAGTTGCCAGGAGTCAACACTGATTCGAAGACACCCCCCAAAAATTGAGGCTGTAAACATTTGCCCTAGGAAATGAGATCGACTGATGATTAAACTTGTATTATAGACCTTTTAGACGTGAAATATTCACTAATTAAAATAGGCTAACTGTTGAAAGAATGATTGTGAGCATTAGGAAAGTCAGAAATATATACAGATGAGTAGGTTTGTCAGACCTGGGCTGCAAAAATCCAGCCAGTGACTGGGTGGCAGCAAAGTGTTAAAGAGCTTTCTTTATCTCTTGGTTGTTCCCTTCTGCCAGTTTAGATTTTGGTAGCCCAAAGCTGGCAGGCCTAGACAAAGTAGCTGATTGTGGGCACGAGGAATAAAAAAATGAATTATTTTAGAACATTACTGGGGAAAATGGATGTAGCCATCCTGTTACTTTCTCTATTTGGGTGATGCAGGAAGGAAGGAAGCAAGTTAGGAGATCCCTTTGAAAGTCCCCAGATGATGTAATAAAAAGAGATTGGGAGAAGAAACAGTTTTATAAAACATTGGTAAATAGAAAACAGAATCCTTTATGTCTCCTAGGAAGAGGAATTGTTTTTGGTTTGGAAAGGTGGTTTTAGGGTCTCACTCACAATAGTTGTAAATCCTAAATTCCTTCACTGTTACTTGCTATAAATGTTGGGGACCAAGGCCCGACCCTTCCATCAGACACAATGCTTATAATAACAGCACTGGGCTCAATGTGCCTGACAGGCACATTTTATAGCTACCTTTTTAGAAGGGTATTTAAAAATGTGCTATCTATTTATCTATATCAACTTTATTATAAAGAACAGTATATAAAATATTTTGTTATAATAAAAAAGCTTTACTTGAAATAAATTTGCCTCTATATGAAAAAAATGCATTTACATAAAACTCAGTTTCCTCTGTAAAAATGTTTATCTTCTTTATGTGAAAAAAATTACATTGCATAAAACTCAGAATTTCTACTGCACAAAAATATTGAAGATATTTATTATTCTAACTTGGATTCTTCATTGCTGAAGCATGAGTTGCAAACAAGATTGGCATGCATTAGACAAAGGATACGCTTACATTTTTTGCATTTAGATTTTGAAAGCCTTCGGCAACTAATTTATTTGGTACAAGTGGTACATCTATTTGCAGATGGACCTGGAGTATTTTCATCTTCCTTTACTTCTTCTGTGTCAGGGTGAAATCTGTTCAATGTTTCTTGCAGATCTAATGGCATTCCAATCTTTTTTTAATGCTTCTTCTGACTATTTCTCCCACAAGAAATTCATGGGATATCTGTTTCAGAAATATTCTTTTCATGAGTTGTAAACAATTTCCAAGGTAAATGACTTGTAAGTTGATGCCACTTATATTTAGCATGGCAAAAAATAACACCATGGACTATCACTTAATGTTTCTAGCAACACTGAATGTGGCACACATTTTATGTGCAGTGTCCACGCCTCCTTTTGTTTCACTGTAAAATGTAATTATGGATGGTCTCTTTTTTTCTTCTGAATCAGAGTCAATTAGTTTATCAGCATTTAACTAGACACAAGAATAACAGTTTTTTATTTCTTTGGGATATATGACACTAAATTAGTGTCTTTATTGATGCCAAAAATGCTTGAGTGTTCTCCTCTGCCTTTGGTTATAACGAATGCAGGTGGTATTTGTCTTTTGGTTACCCACATAGGACATGGAAGATCATGGAGAAAATCTATGTGGTCTCTAGGAGTTGAAAATGACTTGATGGCACATAATCAGTCGATCACATGGGACAATTCCTTCTTTAGTTCCTCAACTAAGTCTGTGTCACTGAACCAGTTACCTGCAGTTATGTTACAGCCTGACCCATATATGGGTTCTGTCATTCTTTTTACTATATCTGTAGGTTTGTTACTTATATTTTATGGCCCATTTGACTGCTTCCCAGCATAAATTTCCAAATTATACAAATAAAACATTTAGCATCCACAAGTGCATAATTTTTTATCCCATACTTAACTAGGTTTTGATGGTATGTACTGGCAAAATGAACATCTTCCCTGAAAGCCGAGTATTTCATCTAGTGTTGTGTTTTCTCCTAGAGAATAGTTCTTTTGGCAGTTGAGTACAAATTTAGTGAATATTTCATGTACAGGGGCAAGTTGATCTTATTTTTTCTGTTCCTGTATCATGATCATCAAACTACAAACAACACGTTAGAAATTTAAATCTTTTAATACTCATCAGGAGTCTGAATTTCTTTATCTCCATTTGTTCCCCAAAGTTCTTCAAGACTCTGTTTTCTCTCTAGGCTCCTGCTAAATATAAAAGTCCTGTAAAAGATTTTATTTCAATCAAATCGGTAGACTTAGCATCCTTTCTTAGGAATATTTGTCTGATAAAATGTATGTACTGATTGGTATATTTAACAACAATCTCAAGAATATCATCACTAAATAAACGTCTCCAGCAATCTACCACTGTTTTTGCCAACTGTGCATCACTTATAACCCCTGGCAAATGTCTTTACAGGTTGTGAGCTTTTATTCTTTTACTCTTTGAAGATGGATTACTATACCATTTGGTAATTTGTCCTTTCTCAGAAAATAATTAGCATCTGTTATTGTTTCCTCTTCTTCATCAGTTTCATGATCCTCTTGTTCCGATTCAGAGTCCCTGTCATGTTCTTCTAAATGATCTTCAGAATCAGTATCTCTCTAATCTTCGAAATCATCAATCAAATAGTTTTCATCAACTGTTTCTTCTAACAATCTCTGTATTTCTGCAATATGATCAGGTTTTATAAAGTCAGATCTCTTATTTGAACTTGCCATATTCAAGGATAAAATCTGAAAATAAAGAATAGTAGCACAATCAGGTGCAATGT